AAAATATTAATCTATTTCTAACATCTGTATTAAATAAATTCTGTAAATGAAAATATCTATAATTTCTTTTCAAATTATTTTTATGAAAATATATTTTTTCTATATCATAACTCTTTTGTCATTTTAATTGATCTTTTATTGGTATTTTAAACACAACTTTGCTTTTCTTTTAATGCATGGTATTTTTTCTCCCTCATATCTCTTCTCCATGTCGCATGATGAATTGATCAGAAAACTCATGCATTAACATGTTTACAGTCAGTCTTTTATTCAGCTATACAGGAGAGCACAGAACTTCAGCAATTAATGAATTTATCATTTACGGAATCAATATCCTCTTTTTTACACATTTTATAATATAAAAGACAATTTTTCTTTTATGATCACGATTATACATAATAAATGAATTTGTCAATATCTAAAAGTACTTTGTTGGACATCACTCACAAAAGGCTTTGACAATTTACATCACAATTATTTTGTTGTACCAGAAATGAGTTTAAATTTGACAAAAGATGAGAAATATGCATATTTATTTGTTACCAATGGTACCTGTATTATCACACTCACACCAAATGTTTCATAAAAAAATTGAATCTCCGATATTTTCATGAATTAACCCATCTAAACTATAAACATACATAATACCACCAGGGTTTTTTCCCCTCTCATTTGGGAAAGAGCCTTTTTATTTCGTTCTGGGAAGGAAATTTTATAGAGTAAAGTATATAATTTTGCAATTTAGCCTTATAATCAAAAAAGGGGGCCATCTTTGGCATCACAGAACCTCTTGAAAAATCCCTGACCATCTGGTAAACTTCCAGGATTTGTGACTCAATTTTGATTTTCTTTTAAAAGATCTTATTTCTGGTACTGATCAATCTCGAAATAAGCACCTTGCGAAAGACATGACCTCTGACCCCAAACCTGATCCTGGGCTTATTGTCAGGTAAATACCTTACCATTAAGGTAATGAATCGAAAACTGAGTGAGAATCAACTGTATCGATCCACATTGTATACAATTTAGTGTGATATCTAGTAGTCTTCAGTATCAGGTACAATATATACCACTGGTCTAATGAAACTCAGAACATGCAACAGCATAACATATTCTGATTTGATATGCATATTACAAAAGCAAAAAAAGAAAATATGTGAGTTATCTTCAGTCTTTCACCAAAGCAACCTGACTAGGTCCAATTGCTTTATCAGATGGTTAGGCCCTACCATGGGTACCTCAGATCCCCTGCTCTAAATCTTGTGGCTTTTCTGTGCAAAAGTGATATCACTTGTTTTACAGATCTTGTGAAATATAATAAAAAGGTGTAAATTTTGATGGCATGGCAAATATGTGATTTGTAATGATTACTAAGGGAAAACAAAGCAAAATACAAATTTTGGTCTTCAAAGAATTTCTGTAAGAAACAAGTCGGTTTGGCAGACAGTTAAATTTTGGGTTTAGATGTCTAAAAAAAATGCATCAACTGTTAATGTCTTACTATAACATTTCCCCCTGACAAATGGTATTAAGTGGTTTCCATTGTAGCAGGAAAGGAGTTGTACTATAAGAACACTTCAGAAATGATCCTACCACACTCTCAACAAAAATTGCTAATTTTATTTAGCTTTTTCTTAATCAACTAGAAATTGAGATAATTATTCAACTTTATATCTAATATAGAAGAACAACAGAGGAAAACACACATCTAAGGTGTTCAACATATTTATTTTCATGAGTAAGAACAGTTTAGGGTTATCTTGATTAAATTTTATGTCGGACATCTTAATTCAAACTACAGACTAGGATTATTTTGTGGGTGGTTTGAGATTTAAATTTTCCCAGCTGATGTCAAATGACCCTATCCAGTGATAATTGGACCAATCAAGTCTGCCATGCAGTTCTTGGACCAATCAAAAACACAATACTTCATTTATTCTGCATTAAGACCAGACCACTGGACCAAATATAAACAGATTCTTAGCCAAATCCAGGGGAATGCTTATTACAAGACAATGAATTAGCTTGTAATTAAATTGTAATGTGTATAAGTCTGTTTGGTTCAAGACATGGGCTTATTGCCGAAAAGTTATGGTATACTAATTAGGCCAATAAGCCTGTGTAAACACTACTGTAGGTTTACATCTCACAGTAATGAACTACTGACTGTCTTATGCAAAACACTTAACAAAGCACACCAATAAATTACCAGTAATCATCACCCACTTGTTTGAATACATACAGAGTCAATGTTAGCTCTAGTCTTTGAAACACTTTTCCTGCATACTTAATGAGTCTATATCAGGAGAAAGTCTTTGTGACTCGTTCAGATCAATTTTTTCTGGTGGTATACCTTACATACTGTGTATTTGTTGTCTTTCATTCGACACGATCGAAGGTAATCACAAATATTGACAGTTGTAATTAACACCTGATATAATAATAGTCATATGTTGGGTATTGATATACCAGACATGTCCCTGTCAATAGCTCAAATGACACAAGAGTACTTATCCCCCTCAACAACTACATTCACAACCCTAATACGCTGTAGTGTTTATGGTTTTACTTGAGCAATACTTGAACCATTGCTAACTGAAATTATTTCAATTCCAAAAAATTTGCAGAAAATTTCCTTCTTAATTCACCAATTTTCTTGCCTAAATTAGGCAAAATAATCTGTTCCAAACAAGTGGAATAAATCCTGTTGTCATTGTGCAGCAAACCAGTATGTTGTCCTCAGCTACCAGCTCTAAATAATATTGGTCAGATGCATAGAATATCTTAGAGATCTTCCATTTTATTTTGGATGCAAAACATTTAAAAATAATTTCACAAACTTTCAAAAATATATTTAGCTGTCTGTGCAATACATAATATTTGTAATTTGCTGTATCCTACATTCCTGACTTTTTAAATCACGTGTGAGTGATATCCTCAGCAGATCCCAGTCAGCAGTTTATCAAACTAGCGACACTAAGTTAACATTTCATTATAGTCACATGACTCCTTATTGTTGGTATGTGATACTCTGCCACCTCAAGAAGTACTCACATAATTAGTATATAGCGGTATATGATTTTTAATATGATTCTGTCCTTATTATGGTACAGTTGTGGTAAAGCACAACACACCAAGAACTTTGGGCACACATTGTCCATACATCACGCACACAGTTGTGTGCACACAGGCTCAATACAGTATCATACGCACAGCTGTGCAATAGGATCGCGGTATGTAAAAATGGTTGGCTAAATAATACGGATTGAAAATAAAGTTGAAATTTTGTGAAGTAATTACTAAATAGCAATGACACGAACATTAAAATCGATCAGTGATTATGAAAGTCATTTTTAGTTTGACAGTTTTTGAAATAACATTGGACCGGCATTAATTAGTCTTATTATAAATAGTTTCACACCTTAGAAAATGGCAACTAGTGGTGCCTCGGGCAACAAAATTTACCTGTATTTACATGACAGGTCCAGATCCGTGCCGTATATTTTTTGTTTGCAAAATGAATAAAAAAAATGAGAATAATACAGAAGTAATGAAAGTGAATTGATGTTAAAAGCAAAAAATGATTTATTGCTGCAACATAAAGAGATGTCCATTTAATGTTTATATATATATAATGTATATATAATGTGTGTCCGTGTATGTTTATATATATAATGTATATATAATGTGTGTCTGTGTGTGTTTATATATATAATGTGTATATAATGTGTGTCTGTGTGTGTTTATATATATAATGTATATATAATGTGTGTCCGTGTGTGTTTATATATATAATGTATATATAATGTGTGTCCGTACACTAAGGCTGGTCACGTGTGGCTCTTTGTAAACAAAACACTTAAAACTACAAGTGTATTTAAATATTCAGTGTGTACCTTCTAGGGTCCAACCTATGTATTAATGGCTTAATTAGGCAATATATTTGTACTCTTATATATTTAGAAAATTAATAATCCCTATCCCACGATTATTTCTAAATTTATATCAACCACAACAGAATCTCACATTTGTGTGATAGAACCGCACAACGTGTGCAGATGTGCGATAGCTTAGTTTGTCCAATTTACCTATCGTGCAGACATTGTGCACACATCACACATCGTGTAAGTTTGTGCAATCCCACAACTGTACTTCATCACAATTGGAAAATTGAAGTAAAACAGTATGGAAGGTTAGCCCTAAACAGGGCTGATGCACTGACAAAGGAATACATGTACAAACCTTCTTCATTAGTAGTATCATATCATAAACTACATACAAAACAAAGAAAAGACAACCAGTAGGAAAAATGATACTTCAAAAAACTTTAAAATATCTCTGTCTCACTGTATCAAAGTAAAGGGTTTTAGATGTCAGTCAAGATGATAATTCAAAGATATAAAAAAAACTTACATACTAGGGATTAAACAATTTTCATTTTTAACAGCATGATATTGGTAATTACTGGGAAAGTTTTGTAACTAAATGGTCTGGTACTGATAGGTCGATCCAGTCACGGGGAAACTGACCTGATGAGATTTAAAAGGATATATCTTTGTCAACACAAGGAAAGCGTAATTACTGAAGATCAGATAAGTTCTTTTTGTCACTGACAGATCTGATAGAATGATCAAGTCACAGGATAGTGTCTGAGATTATGGATCATACTGAAGATATACAAATTTTAGCAGTAATGTTATTTTAGCTCTTTTCACTCTGGAAATAATGTGCTAAAAAATGACTGCTCCAATTTCAGTTTTTTAATGTCATTGATATTGGAGATTAATTTCCTTGTATTGATGTGTCCGAGATTTCATATTCCATATCTTGGTCAGATCTGAATGATTAATTTAGTTCAGGAATGAATACAAAGGAAAAGTACCACATTAGTGAAATTTCCACACTTTTGTCAGCATGTCACTGTAAAGGGAAGTAACTCTACAGTGTAAGGAGTAGAACAGAAGACAGTACATCAGACATTCAGAGTGTAGAAATTTTACCTTGAGATATCATTGAAGCTGAGGAAGAGTCGCTGGAGGCTGGGTAGATTGTCCACATCCACCTGGAAATACAATCATCACAACATTAGACAGTAGACAGGATGCAGAATGATTTCAGATTAGAGCTGGTTTTCTAGTTCTGTAGCATCTACATCCCAGAAACTAACACAGGTTTTGAAGGAAAAATTTCCAGAGCAAACTGCAAAATTTTCTGATTTTAAAAAAATGCTTGACAATTCCTAAAACGAAATTTGGCCCATTAATGGCTCAAGATTGTCATTAAAGTCAACAGAACTCAAAATTAACGCAAATGATACAGAAAGGAAACCTGATAAGCAGGCAAACAAAAATTACAACATCAAAGAAAATTTTTACCAAAATAAACAAAATGAATGACTATTTTACTTACCACTGTCCTGATCCTGTTGCGACGCAGATTAAGTTCTGCTAAAGAGTCCAGCCCCGCCAAATTGTCCACAAAGGTAATCTGATTCCCAGCAAGGTTCAGTACTCGTAGCTCAGACAGATGGCTGAGATTTTCAATCATAGCAATCTGCAAAGGTCAAAGGTTGGCAATAAAGGTCATAGGTTAAAAGTAAAGGTCACAGTGACCTACTAGTGTACCTTTTACACATTGACGTTAGAACATTTGAAGTGAAATTCATACTATTTAATCACTTTTGGACATACAGCATCATAAAAATAGTGCTAAACCAAAGTTTTCTTAGTATAAAATGGAGTGTTCATTGGAAAGGATTGTCCTGTTGAGGAGCAAACTCTGGAAAGACTGATTTATAAAAATCTTCTACAATTAAGTGTAAAAATTTAAGTAAAATTTAAGTAGATCTACTTTTCCTAGAACACTTAAGCAATATTTTTATGTATTAAAGGTTGACAATTTTAAAAATATTACTACACAACATATTGTACTTATACATAATTCCAGAGTGAATGAAAAGATCACTTTCACTCTAGTCTTGGGTAAATGAAATGATTCTTATCTATCATTTATCAAAACAGAGAGAGAATCCTAACTGTTATACTTACCTGATTGCCGTGTAAATCCAGGACATCCAGTTTACAAAGTGTTTCTAAATTTTCTATTGTTTTAATTCTGAAATAAAACAAAAATTATCACAGTAAGTAAATAATGCTACAGAATCTTAGACCTGATACTAAACTTTACTGAAAGTTACCAATGAACATTTTTCCTTTTGACAACCTACAGAAATATCATATCCTAGATTTTGTTTTTCCCCCTTTTTTTTCTCACTTTAAAATTTAAAACCTGTTAGAATAGAATCTCTCTTCTGTTTGAGGTATATTTGTGTACTTTTGAAACATTTTCGTATAAACATCTTTAGACACCTATTCTCCAGAAACTGTTCTATAATCTTAAGGAAGATGCAGTGACAGACACCTATTTTTTTTTATATAAACTACAAATTTCTTACCTAATCACTTCAATATCCCACCCAAGGTAGGGTTTACTTATTTTAAATGTTAAATTCCACATATCTGTTTTTGTCCAATATGAGTACATGCAGAAATTTGAGTACATTGTTTTTGCCCATTACCAGTACAGACTTAAGCATTTACTTGTTTTTGCCTAACATAAGTACCTGTAGAGATTTGAGTCTTGTTTGTTTTTGCCCCACATGAGTACCCATACAGACCAGAGTTCTTACTTGTTTTTGCCCAACATGAGTACCCATAGAGATTTGAGTACATACTTGTTTTTGCCCAACATAAGTACCTGTAGAGATTTGAGTACATACTTGTTTTTGCCCAACATAAGTACCTGTAGAGATTTGAGTACGTACTTGTTTTTGCCCAACATGAGTACCTGTAGAGATTTGAGTACATACTTGTTTTTGCCCAACATAAGTACCTGTAGAGATTTGAGTACATACTTGTTTTTGCCCAACATAAGTACCTGTAGAGATTTGAGTACATACTTGTTTTTGCCCAACATGAGTACCCGTACAGCCAGAGTTCATACTTGTTTTTGCCCAACATAAGTCCCTGTAGAGATTTGAGTACGTACTTGTTTTTGCCCAACATAAGTACCTGTAGAGATTTGAGTACATACTTGTTTTTGCCCAACATGAGTACCTGTAGAGATTTGAGTTCATACTTGTTTTTGCCCAACATAAGTCCCTGTAGAGATTTGAGTACGTACTTGTTTTTGCCCAACATGAGTACCTGTAGAGATTTGAGTACATACTTGTTTTTGCCCAACATGAGTACCCGTAGAGATTTGAGTGAACTAAGCCCAGATATCTCCTCTATCTGATTATCATACAGGTCGAGGAAGATGAGGCGCTTTAGGGAGCTGAGATGCTGGATCTTGCTGATCATGTTGTGTTGGTAATTCAGCAGCCGCAGCTGCTCCTCGCCCTCCAGTATCGGACATACTGTTAGTTTTCGTCTATGAATAAAACAAAGACAGTATTTAATCCCTGAATGTTTTCAATAATAAGAAATATTCTCTACCATGAAAACACAATAAAGTTAATCACATTTTACAATTTTATGGTCAAAGGGAAGTAACTGGTAATTCTAAAGTAACACTAAGAAATTTTCAGATCCGTCTCTCTCCTCCGTTTTTCAGTAGCAAACATACCCGGTATATTTTAAATGCAACGAAAGAAACTTTCTCTATTGAAATATCAGTATGTCATAGGATAATGAAACATTATATGAAGAAATTTTAAGCTTGTGAAAGCAACAGCAAATTTCACAATACATACCCTTGTTAATTCTTTATAATATTATATATAAAACAGCGAGAACTCATGTTAAATCCAACTTTCCTTCTTTGAATCACACTATCCAATAGATTTGTTTGACTCTAAACATATGACTCTCTTAGGAAACTGTCCAAATTTCTTGACCACAACAATATAATGTGTCAGAATGTAAGCTTGGGTCATTTGAACACTAGACCACTAAAGCATGTACAGTATCTCTGTATCAACTTTGATTCTAAACATCAAAGATTCCATCAGAGTTTTCCCTAACTCTCAAAACCTTTGACTCCCTTATCTGACAATGGACTCCCAAAATTTAAAAAATTTGCAATTTATTGTGGTTTGAGCCCTTGGACTTCTAATATGTAAAAAAAATTAAAGGTCTTCGGAGAAAACCTTGCATTCCATGCATGAAGTCAAGCTGACATTGTTAACACTAACGACATTTCATGGAGATAGAAACATTGCAATTTTAGGCAGCAAAATATAACAGTGTTAGTCCTCAAATTACATATTCTCTGACATAATTTGTCCAATTCTCTCAACCTCAGCCCTCAAGAATCCAGAATTACAAGATGTTTCTGTTTACGATGAATACAGACCTGTCGAGGTTGAGTCTGTCTGGATTGGAAGACCTTTCATCAGGCGTCCTATAAACAACTGGTATACCAGGGGCTGAGGGACTCTCAGCAAATATCACTCTGTCCCCTACAACACAGAACAAGGAGTCAACATCTGTCCTTAAAGCAAAGAATTGTAAATATATAATTGCCTAAAGTATCAAGATCAATAATTACCAGTGTTAATCCCTTAATATACTCTTCATAATTCATTTGACAATTATATCAGTCATGTTTTCCACAGCACATTGTTGTTATCATTCTTATATTTTTATCATGTTGTATACCAGTAATATTTGATACCTGCAGTCAGACTCTTCCTAAAAAATGACTTTATAAAAAGCAAATATGTCCTTATTTCATTTAAAATCTCATTTTTATTCATAATTAAATTTCATCACATCAAATTTCATTTTTTTTCTTTATTATTTTCATTTCAAAAAGGATTATTTTAACAATGCAATGGGGATTAAGAAATAAGAAACTTCAAAAATAATTTCTCTCATAAATGGCTGTGACCTTCTCCTTTCTTTATAAACAGATCTTTTCTTATTTTGACTTGACCTTGACCTATGACATAATCGACCTTTTGGGCATATTCTGTTTTCTTTTTTTTTTACAAAGTCTATTCAACTTCATTGAAAATATTTGAGCCATTCAAACATTTTTTTCCTCCTTCAAAGGAAAGAACTTGTTATAAGTGAATTCAACACTATCAAAACAACCAGGTGACCGTCAAGGAACTTTATATGATGTTAAACATTTGATCATCTTCAAACTGTCATTTCAAGCACATCATTCCAGTCTTGTATTCAAACTTTCAATTCAAACTGTGTTGGTGTAAAAATTGAACAAATGTTTCATGTGAAATGTATACTAGTTAGAAAACATGGTTTATTTATTAAGTATTGGGAAATAGAGAGAAACCTGCCAAGGTTTTGTTAGTTAAAAAGTTATTTACCTAGATTGCGGAAAACACCTTTGAGAAAGACAAAACAGAAAAATTGATTATACTTGTAAATAATTCTAAGATTTGAATTTTTTTTTAATATTTGACTCCTGAAAGGATTATAAACAAAAGTTCAGACTATGTAAATACAAAATTAAACCTGGGGGACTTGTTCCAGGCCAAGAAGAACTTTGAACCAAAGTTGGTAATATTGACTACATATAGTACAAGTATTAGGTTCTACAAGTGTAATAATGTTATATGTGCATTTGAAACTGTGACAAAGTCCCTATTAGCAGACATTTTCTAAATTAAAGAGTACCATCCAAAGTTTGTTAGCTTTTAGAAGAAAATGTGTAGCTAGGACAAATATGTGTATTTCATGAAAGAAACAGAGGTAGAAAATGAGAAAGAAATTACTGCTTTATTCTAACCTTGTAAAACAATGTCTAAAATGAAAACTAAGAATCAATATGTCAATTTGGATTCAGGTAAAGAGACAATTCATTCTTCCACTGAATTCCATTTTACAATTTAATATTTAGAATACATTAGACAAGATCTCGTGATAAAATAAATAAATTAATAATACATTAGTTTTTTATTTTTTTTCAGGAAAATTTAAACAGAGGTATTACACCATGAAAAATGTAAAGGACCAAGTTCAAATGAAGAAAATCTACAATGAAAACTACTTCAGATTTTAAACCCACACAACCATAATAATAATTGTCTACAGATTTAGTTAAAATGACTTTTTACCCCCTGACTGTCTACTGTCGCCATAGCCATACATGCTCATTCCTGTAAAATTAAATCATTCATTCTAACATATTGATAAAAAGATCTGTGTTGTTATTTGAATATTGAATATACATCTGCATAAACATTATCTTTTTATTTCATACTTACCGTTTTATGTACAGAGCAGTCAAAATATGACAAACTCATAATTCTAACAACAAAATAAAAGCCTAGGCCATAGATCAGTCCCCTGTATGAAACCCTGTACCTCTCATGATATCATCTGACATTTAGCATGTTTATCAGAAATTAACAGTCAGCAGCTGATCATTTCAAAAGGAAAGGGGAATTAAGGACATAATGTTGATGAGAAAAACTTTGTAGATTTTATCAAATATCTGGAGCAGTAATGTAAAATAATACTTCTTATCTATAATAGAACTGGTACAGTCTAATTGGGACTCTCCACTGCAGTTTGTAGTAAGAGATTCCATATATACAGCAATCAGTATGGAGATACCTTAGATGTAAAAGGAATACAGATATTGGACGGTCAGAAACAAATTTCCTTATTATGTATATTTTGATTTTAAAACAGATTACAATAAACTTGTAAGGAAGGCAATGACCTTTGACCTTCTGGTTCAAAGGTAGTCAGCATATCTACTTCAACTTTTACCAAGAGTTCACTGTTAAATTTCAATGAAAACTGTATTTGGTTTTAGAGGAAAAGTTTTGTGTGTTTTTTCTCAGTCATGCCCAATAAGCCTTCTATTTGTTATTGTTTTAAATCAAAGAGTTCTCTTTCTTGGAACATAGGTATTGTGATAAGAAGACCAAAAAACAATTATCGTATCAATTTTTTAAAAAATTTTTATCAAATTGTCAATAATCACTTTGAGTTTTGTTCCCCAGACAGTTCTTGAGATGGGAAACAATGAAAAACAATGACATTTCAATCCTTCAACAGTCGTATAAAAATATTCACTTTATAGTTGCTTTTATTCATTTGTGAGCACCTTTGTCTGAGATTAGTACAAGTCAACAGTGACAACCTCTATTGAACAAATTCAAATGTTAAAAAAAAAAGATATGATCATTTTTAGGACTCTAAGCATCAAATAATCAAACAGTTAGAAAAATCAATTCATACACTACACAACCTGGAAAAGAATAAACAATATCTGAGAGTTGTATAAAACTAACGCTGAAATCAAACTATTTGAATTAGTCTCTATCAATCATTTTGTCTCTAAAAATGGAAACATTAGTAAAAGGTTTGCATTCTGTCTTGATGTCAAACAGAGCTGAAATCACAATTTTTAACCCAAAGAATGTGATGGTGTTTTTAGTACCAAGTCAGTGAAGTGAAAAATATAGGTCACAGTGACCCAAATTTGATATGCCAGACATTGGTGTAGTACTCATTAGACTAATCTCTATATCAAATTCATTACTTACAGACTTTCAAACTGATGAAGATAAACAAGAAGCAAAGAGATATATCTTGTCCATTGTGAATTGTCATGATGATTCCAAACATTAGCATAGCTGTTATAGATAAGTTCTGGTTTTCCAGCAATATCATAGCTTAGTGCATAATGATCTCCACATGAAGCCTGAACCTCAAATGAAGACTGACTCTCAAGTTTTTGGACTACACATCATAAACAAGGTCAACAGACCTCGCATTGGAACTCACAGTAGAAGCTAGACCCAATGGTAGAGTTTTATATATAGATCTTGCTGTCAAAACTTCATATGACTTGACTAGACTTTACAATAAAATCTAGACATCGTTGATAAAGTCTAGATCTGACACAGCTATTGAATCATACATTACCAGTAAAATACATACAATAATTCTTCCACTTTTAGCTGAAATTCGAAGTTGAAATAAAAACAAAACAAAACAAAACTAACACTAATTAGGTACAAACATTATTTACAAATTGAACATTCCAGAAAAATGAAACAACAACATGCAAATGTGAGAGAAACACAAGTGTCAGTAAGATTAGTGGTGAGAAATAGGCCAAAACGAAAAATACAAAAAAATGGCCGTACATTTGCAGACATTATAACCCCGAGACAAACAAACACAAACCTGGTAAAAAAGCAGGTGCTTTCAGAGTCTTAGGAGAAAGGTGAGCACTAGAGCGGGAACTACGCCCACTTTCTTCAAGATCCTGCAACTCTGGCGTGGAAAGATCGTGGGCCAGGGCTGCTGCTGGCACGATCTGTTTCTTATTACTTCTATAATGAATCGGCACTTTTTCTGAAACAAAACAATGATCCCATCACCATTTAAAGAAGGTGTGCTTAGTTATCCCTGTCACCATTACAAGCTCCGACGTTGATCAATGAAATCTCAATTACGGGTAATTTATGTTATTGCATGTATTAATCTTTTTTTAGATGTATTAATCTTTCTTATTATCAATTTTCATATGGAGTAAAAGTATATGTCTAGCACTTCAATATTAATTGAAGTTTAAAATAAACTAGCAACAGGAGAGACAACTTGTAACTTTAATGCAAAAAGAGCTGGCACCATTTTTTTTTTTTTTAAATTTTCAACTTTTTTATTTCAAACCCATCACACAGTGTGAGACTCTAAAACCAAGTGACAAGGATATATAATTAATTTCTACCAATTTTTTTTTTTTTTTTCGAAAAAGTTTTCATGTGTTCAGGAAATCTGGCTATATTTCGAATTATAGGCTATTCCGTCCATTGAGTACATATAACATATGTACATAATGATAAATCTATCATATTGATTTTTCATCTGCTTTGACCTCAAAGCATTATCATCACGATAAGGGGTCAGAGGTCAATACTTCTGGAAGAGGTAGATGTGTCAGTAGGACAAGTTCCTGTAAGCTTAAGTGGTCTTATTTCATAAACCTCTGTTGCAGTTAGACATGGTAAGTCTAGTTCTGGTCATACCCATTTCTGTGATAAATCATGAATTTTTTTTTCCTAGTTCAAAAGCTGTATCTACAGAAAGATTGAGTTCCCAATTACCAATTATGAGCTTGATTTGCATCCCTCATTATATAACTACAAACTCGATTTCTCCATCTATTACAGAAAAGGAACAAAATTATGACAGAATGACAGTAAGATAGGCAGGACAACAGTATATGCCACTTGTTTTAAGGTAGAACATGCATGTTCAGTATTTTAGGAAATAAATATTAGCTATAACTTTATTTCAAGGTTTCTCTTCACAAATTCCTGCATTTTCAGGGAGAAAGCTAGCTGTTATAAGCTTCGCCTGTTGCTAAATTCTTCATATATGGTAACCGAAAGTCAAGCAAACAGAAATAGCTCTACACATTTCTTTACCACTGACAAACAAAAGCTGTTTCTGTCATCAAAGTTGATAAAATGCTCTAATTTAAACTAAGCCATTGACAATCAATAACACCATTTATCAAACACAAAGCAAATATCAAAACTTGACACTTCTTTTTTCATCAAATTCTCTAAGTTTTCAATAAAAAGAAATGAAATTAGACAATAAATCTCCAGGTAGGTACACTAGAGTTTAACCAGAGTTGTGCAATCTAAAAAGTTTTTGAACCAATCACAGGTGTCAAGTATTTTCACTGTTTTTTTATCCCTGTATCTATCAAGAAAAGGGACCAAAGACCTTACTCAGTGATCCCAATCTCAATCTGATTGACACACAGAATATCTCACAGGACTGAATATTTTTAATCCTCTTAAGGAATTCAAACATAATGACATTGGCCAGGGTGTTACAATTAAATATCCTACTCAATGAATTTCTCCGTAAGCTTGTTGAGATTAAATTGAGAAATCAATTGTGATTTTGTTAGATATAAACATTTTTTACTTTATCTTCTGTCCATCATTATTAGATAATTTACTAGAATTTTGTACCAGCTATCGCAGATGTAAAAATCACTACTGAAAAAAACTGTTGGGATAGAAATTTCTGTGGTTTTTATTCAGGCTTTCTGCTATTGAACTTTAACATTGAAGTTTGATCACTAAAAGTCAAAACTCCCTCAGTTTTCAACATCATCATCACTAATGTTCCTTCCTACAGAATTCATAATTACGTACAAAGACTAATTTCACTAAGTTTGTAAAAATTCAAAACTTGTGTGTGACATTGAGAAATAAATTATGTGTAGTTTAATACATCATATGCAGATTACCTCCACTTAAGCAAGATGGCTGCTTCATCCATACTACAAAGTATGGGAGGGAAGCAGACGCCATTCCAGATGAAGGTCGCAGGGTTAAAGGTCGGTCTTTTTCTCTTTCAAACCTCATTGTTTTTCAAACAATAATAATTCCAATGAATATTCACAGAAAAAAATCTTCACTTTCCCGCCTGAAATCCATTTGAATTATTCTCAGACAATGTTAGAATTTGAAATCAGATATGACTTCGTGCCATAATCTAGCATTCTATGATTCAAGAACACTTAACTCTTCATCACATTTTCACAATTTTCAAAGAAAAAAAAAGTTTAATCAGTCATAAAATCAGCGTTGACATTTTTCAAACTTAAAAAATTCCTCTCGCAAGTGAATGAATTGAGTATATTTCAAAAGGATGGTTTGCACAACTTTCACTGTATTTTAAATGTTTAAACATTTGTCATGTAGATAAATAATATTGCTGTTGATTTCATCCATGAGCAGAATAGTAATCCAAATCCCATTAAAGGTATATGACGTGAATGTGACCCACTGAAATATCGAACACAACAACTGAATCATCCGAATAATTTGATCACCTTATTATCACATTCAAGTGTGAAGCGACTCGTTCAGTGAGAGTAGGGAAAGTTCACCGCTCGCAGATTAAACAACACCTAACTCAGGTATGTTGAAATTTGAGTGTGAATTCAAATACGTAATTTGATTTTTTTTTAAGCATGCATTTAAATGTTTCATATGAAGAAATCAAAATGAGATTTAAAACAGCAATACATTAACACACTTTCAGTCACGATGACTAAATTATAATCCACCCAAAACTCAATCCATAGAGGTTTGTCACAACCATGATGACATCAGTTGAATGCATGCTGATTTGTGAATAATTTATTTTAAAAGTCTTCCCCAAACTGCCACTGTCATATGCATCAGGAAGTCAGATAAGTGGCGCAAATTCAAAATACATCCTGGAATCACTTTCGACACGTAACCATTAATTCTATATCCTGTTGATTAGAATTAACGTGGCATGAAGTGTCAATATTCTGTTGATTATACCTCTCTGATTGGCATATAAAGTGCTCTTTCTTTTTCAATTAGATATTTCAAATCCAAAATTACTCCATAAGCCGTCATACAAAGAATAATCATTCTAAAGGATCACATCCGAGTACCTTAATGTGTACAATCAAAATAACTCCATAAATTTCTCCACACTTCTGACTGATACTTGAGCAAGAATCTTACCACTATCTGCCTTTCATTTATAAATTGATATGAACACAACGTTATTTACTTCAAATCTCCTCCATATTTGCACAAGGGAATATGGTGAAATATTATCCTGTTTGTAATCCGCCAAGTATATATGGTCTTATAAATTACCATTTAATATTAATATAACCTTTACAAACACACTGTAACAGTCATATACACAAAATGGCTGTAATCGCTGAGGATGTGTATTTTGGCAAACAGCCAATAAGAGGGATAATTCAGATGACAATCAATCAACAAGGATTTGTGATTTTCCGTCAGTAAGAAAACACAATCTGGGAAGGTATCTCTCCCGGATTTTAATCTAACAATTTATGGACGATGCAGCTTACAGACTCGAAATGGAAAGAAGTTTAAAACGATTTATTGCATCACAACAGTACTGGCTATAGGAGTAAACTGCTAAACAATAGTACTATCGAGCGAAATCATTATAATATTGGATGTTACAATATTTTCAGGAACTTTTATTTACAAGAAAAAACAGCTAAATCATCATTGGACCGATAAATTGATTTTATGGCGATAAATTGATTTTGGGATTCAAAGTGAACAAATTTACCAAAGGAGTGAATCACTCCATCATGTTCATGGCCAAGTGGACCAGACTGAAGTCAATCCAGAAAGTGGGTTATCCAAACACACTCGCAGCAACAGGTGATCAAACACTGGATCACATTACACAGACTCCAAAAGATTCACTTTCCTCAGCCTGAAGCTTAAACCAGAATCCTTAAGGTAAGCTCAATTCATTACACAGGTAAGCATTTCACTACATGTGAGTGTGTTAAAATCCACATAACCAGTGAAATTCTTTTTAACACTTGATGTAAAAAACACCAGGTAATTACTCTGTTTATTCAATTCTCCACAAGGGAAATCGGAATTCCATCCATCAGTAGTTACATCCTTTGAAAAATTTAAGAATGCAGAGAAATAATTTCTGTCAATATGTCAAGTTTTTATATTTTTTCAGTCCTGTGTTCATACAATTTTGAGAAACTGGGCCAAAACATACAAGCTATGTACTGTTTATGTGTGTCAAACTATGTCATTCGATGATCAACCGTTGCTGCTTTGTCGTAGAATACAATACACTATCTACAAAACTTTTAAGCAAAACTCCAACACATATCAAAGCTTTAACCTGCTCAAATACAAAACACTGTAGTTTGAATTTCAATTAAGTCTTTTCTGAAGACGCTGTCAATAAACATATAGAACTCAGTGAATTGAGTGATCATTTGTACAGCTTTGTGGACTGGCATGTGCAGTTTTTAATGAAGGTTTATATACAAGTTCTCAAACACTTGGCAACAACACAACATTTGAAAAAAGAACTGGTATTATGTATATACAAACTCTATCATTGAAAAAAACTCCAGTAAATTGAAAACCTGAGGCTAAATCAGTATCAGTTATATATATTTTTTTTAATATTGTAAAACTTTATTGTATTTTTAAAAGTTCCTTCTGGCTGAATTAATCTATCAAAATTGTCTTTATCACAACTTTATGAAAATTCCTTTGTATATTTGTAAAAGACAATCTTTTTCCATCGGTCATTATATATATAAAATCCTTAAATGTCAAGTTTTTGTTGAATTGAATTTTTTTTTTATTTATCCTTTGGACTGTGATGAAGTTTCTTCAGAAAATCCTTTCTCAATGAATATCATGACACAAATTATACAAATCAATAAATTGCTGAACAATCCACATCCTCCAAAACAGAATCACAAAATTCGACTAAAATGTTACATTTTCATCAGTGATATGTCAAAAGGATCCATT